TTGAGGCCTTTTTTGTGCAGAATGATCCAAATAACTCGAATAAAGGTCTTGTGATTCCGGGTTACAAAGTGGCTACCTTTTCTTTCATGTTAAGGGACATTCAACAAACGTGATTATGGAAAAAATCGATTTGGAAAACTAGATCTGTCAAGGAAGTACTTAATTAATCAGTTTGAAATAAGTAATTGCAGCTGAAAAGTTCCCACATTTACTTTAAATTTTCTTTTAGTGCTACAAGTTACGTTATCAGCCTACCCGTGGACCGGCAAACACGTCTGCCACAATATGATAATGTAGCTTTGCTCTTAATGGTATAAATGGGTATAAACAAGCAGTGATAGTCCAGGTCGGCCGCAAACTTTAGACTGCATCGCGCATTGAGATGATATGAAAAAAACTAGTCAAATCTTACGTACTTTGATCCTAAAATGTTGATCAGAACGCCGTAATTAGTTTTTCAAACACTGAAGATTTGCTGTACTAGCATGCATGTTTTTTCAAATAAAAAAGTCACTCTAGTACATTGGACCGATCAGACGGCGTCTTAGTAGTGGCGAAGTAATGGATCTAATTAATTTGGGAGATGTCTTTTAATATGTCTGTCAAACTAACGAAGCATTATTCGATCAATGTAAGATGGGCCCTTGGGTCCCATATTAAAACACAAAAACCAGTTTTTTACATTTGTGTCCGGACATAAAAGTTGACGCAAGTTCCATGAATCAAGAACGATTTGTTTCCTACTCGAAACATGGATAAAACCTGATACAGTATCGTATAGATTGACATAACGTCATTCCTGAGCATTTTACTCGAAATAGCAGCGTCTCGCTGTTGCTGTTCAAAATGTTGCTTGATAAACTCTTTGAAGACATAAATAAAATTACAGCATGATTATTCTTCAACAAACCTCGAGTAAATAATCAATTTCCTTATTGCGTGATTTTTTGCGCCCCGACTAAGTAAAAGCGGGCCTTAATATCTGAAAACCCCTAAAAATAGATGTGTTCGGTGCTTAAAAGCTCGGTAAAAAACCATAATATTCGTGGTCACCAAGTGTCTGAGTCAAAGTTCAAAGCCCGAAGAATATTTTGAGATTAGTTTACACATATTTTAGAGCGACTGTTGACCTTGTTTTTATGCCAAAGTTGGCGAACTTTTGATTTTCGCAGACTGTACGTGGAATCGAATCGAACGGACTGACTGGACTGTAAATAAAAAATAATGTAAAATGTAATAACATTTTAACATTTCATAAATATTTCTGTCTGTTTCTCACCTGTTAGTTTTAAAGTACTTCACCTCCTCTTGTATTTTTGAAATTCAGCAAACGTAATTTCCATTACATACCTACATCTCAAATGTATTTGAGACAATAAACCGAGAGAATTATCATCAACATAGATTATTTATTAGTACACAGATCCTCACTAAGCATTTATGCACTGCCGTTCGGTCTGTTTCCTTCCAGTTATACAACTCACAGCTTAGTCCTTCAATAATGCCATTTTCTAACTAGATGTTACATCACAACAGAGCGATACCATGATAGCTAAAGCATCATGACGTTTAGGTAACTCCTACAGCTACACAACGAGTGCATATCAAGTGAATAACAGCTAGTCCCAAGTTAACATCTTATAGGAAAATCTACATAGTGTCATACAAAGCCTATATAATGTCAAAAAAACGAGCTAATGTTACTTTACAAGATACGTAATACCCCTGTGGCGCGGAACGGGACGGAACGAAAAGGTGCGGAGTGGAGCGAAGCGGATCACCTGGAACGGAAAACTGAACTGAATGGAACAAAATGGAATGGCATGGGATGGAATAGTATAGAGTAGAATACAATATTAGTAAAAAAGTACATTGAAGTAATCGGCAGCCGCAAAAACACATACACGACGGACTGTCTCGTCGAAACAGTTCATCCAACCATGGGGTCTTCCACGCCTTTCGCTCTCTTAGAAAGAGCTACTCTCGACAGTTACAGATACCCAGGTGTCGAACTTCACTACCAAGCCTTCAAACCCTAGCATGTAATAGTTGCCTCTCGAGCGGGGGAAGGGGCGAACTTGAGGAGATACTGGTTTAACTGCTTTGGGTCTCTACTATTGGTTTGCGTTATACTTTGGTAACAGGGATATTTACGCTTACATTTCCACCATTTATTTTCGCTTTTAAACTTTCAATATAAAAGTTTGACATAAATCTTCTCGGATTACTTTATACTTTGCAACTGTGTATATTTTATCTAATTTCCAATGCGATTGGAGATGCAATTTTCAGTGATATTTCAGCATCAGTTTGAAAAGTTCCTCGCCAAGGACTTCAGGCGTAAGTCTACTACAACTGGCTGACCGTTCTTTGGGATTAAACATGTGTAATTAGGCTGGGAAGTTCCACAGATACGACGTAGTTACGTTAAATGGGAGCAAAGTTGCGAATTCAGGTAACCAGCAAGATGCCGTTCAGAAAGTTCTGAAATTCAAGATACTTCCGGAGAGAAAACGGAAAAAACAAATGTTTCCAAAATCGTTTGCGCAGATGAATAGAGTTTTTTTTCTGATCAGAAAAATGTAATATGTCATACACAGACATTGCCAAACTTTAGTTATTCCGCAAAAAACAGAAGTTCCTAAGTAGGCCTTGAAATGATCAGAGTTCATGTTTAGTATACCAGGCCAGCCCTCAAACTGCAGATACCTACATAGTTTGGAAGACGGAGAAGAAGAGAAATAGATCGAGCATTGATCAGTGTACAGAGAAGTTTCAGGCTTTGCCTACAAAGTAGCCGATATTTTGAACATCTCTCTGCTTTTTTATGGTTATTGTTGTTATTACCATCCATAAAATTTACATATTGTGTTCAGGTTTCACCATAACTTTTTATTTCCTTCATCCAACAACAAATTCATGGCCAACTAAAGAAAACATGACTGAGTTTAGAACGATTTAAATGTACAACATTCTAATATAGCGTTCATATTAAAACACAAAAGTGGTGGTGGAAGTCCAAAGAATACATGTCGCACTGTAAAAGTGACTACGCCATCTTGTAGAGGAGAATTAGTAACAATGACAACATGCTATCAATTTTGAAAACCCGTCTAAAATAGATTCTGGAAAATATAGAAGTGATTTTGGGATAAGTCTGGTACGTATGCCAAACAAATGACTGGTAACTTCAAGGTCTACCTAGGAAATTCTGCTTTTTTGAAATAACTCAATGTATAGCGTTTTATAAATTTTTGGAATCGGAATTAAAAACTCTATTCATCTGTGCAAAAGTCCAATTTATGGTCCATAAGAAAGAATAAAGTTGATCCTGGAGGACAACACATGAAGCGTCAAATTGAAATTCTAATTACGTATATACCATCTTGTAGAGGAGAAAAAGTGGCAATGTTAATGTGTAATTTATTTTGAAATCCGTCTACAGAAGAAGTCAGGGAAAAATTAAAACAGTTTGGGCAAAATTCGTCTTTTTCCGTCTCTCCTCGGAAGTATTTTGTATTTCGAGATTAAGCGCATTTTGTTGACTATCTAAAAACTCAACTTTGACCCCATTTAAGCGGCTTCGTATCTCTTACAGTTTCCGATATCCCAACGGTGAGGATCGAATTTGCATAGCAACAACAAAGTTGTGCAGTTGACTACAAATTTGTTGCCATATACAATGGCCGCATGGAACACTAAGGTTTTTTATCGGAAATACTGCAGACAACCTGGCAAATGTAAGAGAGGTTTTGAAAAATGCCATTATACAAATGTCAATATAACGGTTCCCACTTCCATTTCCCATGCCCATTGGCGACAAAGTATTGTTACCACAAGGTTAGCGGTCCTGATGATTTTTGAGAAATTTTTCATTATTCGTTTTTTCCCTTTTCACATCCCTGTACAGTGTGTTACTTGAAAAAGACCATAGTGGTGGTATAAACGTCGTACAAAAAACATATATTTGGACATACTCGTATATGTGTTTTGATTCATTAGATCTTACAGGTTTTCGATTGAAGAAACTCCACTCAAACCGGTTCATCCGTTTCGAAGTTTTTGCATTGGGGGTTACAAACCATACATAGAAATTGACCTAACTAATGAAAAATTTAACCGATTTAAACCCTTTCATCTGATACCACATTGAAGCATAATTTGTTTATTTGTGTTGCTTTCCCCCATATTCATTTCCCCCCTCCATAGCTTTTATAAGGAATGAATTTCATCAAACATCCCGACAGAAAAGATTTTCATTTCAAAAAAATGAATTCAAGTTGGTTCATCCGTTGGGGAGTTTAAGAAGATCATACAGAAAAGCGGGTCTAACTTTTGAGTTAAAATACCAAATTCATGAATCCCCACATTAATCCAATAAATTCAGGCATACTCGATTACCTTGGGTTGCTCTCCCTCACCGTATGGTCACATCCCATCACTTTTTAGCAGCTGAACCGTTTCAACCAAGCATAGTAAGATTGCGATTTAGAAATACGCACTCAAATCGTTTGTATGTGGGGGAGCTACGATCCCACAGATCCACAGACATACACACCTACACACGTTAACGTTATAAAACTTATCCTTTGTGCGTCGGAGGCTACAAATAAAGACTGCAGATTTTCCTTTTGAAACCGCCAATCAAAACATTTTTTTGCAATTTATGCACCCAGATAAAACTAATAATCGTGTCGTAACTAGGAATATGTATAATGTAATTGCAAACTAGCGTAGATACTCTGGCAGATAAGGTAAACTCAATCATACTGCCCATCTATGTAAATACATTGGCACGTTTAAAACTATGATTAGTGTCATTATCATCATGATGGTACCCACCAAACATAGTGTGTTCTTCCCACTAAAACTTCTTTTAAGAAAATACGTTGTTGCCATGATGTTGGAGAGCTAGAATGTTCGGTACACACTATGCCATCTTAATATTTTCTTTACTAGCTGATACTTACCTGATGTGAACTAATGCCAAATGTTTGCAGTGAACAACCTTACCCAGTCTTTTACTCTCTCTGGCAACTCGAGATCCAGGGTGCAAGCTATGGTTGGGACTTCAGGCCCCAACTCGTGCCAAGCCGACTACCTGATCATCCCAATGGTTTCCAATGTTGGACGACCACTCACAGGAACTAGCAATACCGTTGACAGAATATGTGGAGGCGTTCTTAGTGCTGAAGTGTCAACGCTATCCAGTAGCATCAAAAGTACGTACCATGAGAATCAAAGTTATATACAGACACGGAGCCAGTAAATTATACCGACATATTGTTCCAGTCCATAGTTTACCATAAATGATATTCCAGTTGCTGATTATAATTTACCGGCTAGTTTTACTTATTGCTTTGGCTGCATTTGGTTCACAATAGTCTGGAAGGAGACCACACATTTATCAATAGAATTAAATGTCAATGTTACAGCTGCTTTAAGCATATAACAACAGGACCTCATTTTTCTCTTCTTCATAGATCTTTCGTCCACTGTACTAATTTAGGAAAACATTTCGAATAATTCACAGAGTAATCTATTTTAGAAATTTCAAGCTACGTAGTACGATCAAACAGTCAAAGTTACTGTTGCAATACTGGCGATATAAAATCGGTATTTCCTATGCAACTGAGAAAGCAAATACTTTTTATTACATTTTGCACTGCTGATATTGGGGTGCGTTATGCGTCGGTAAAGTTGATCCACACCGTTCGAGATGCTGGAAATACATCAGCACAGGAACACCTACATTAATAGTAAATTAATGTGATATCTGAAGCTCATCCTGTAGTTGATTCTTTGATCTATCTTCATTACATGTTGAATAAACTGGTTTGATAACGGTTTCGACTGCCACAGCAGCCTTTTTCATAGTGCAAATCAAAATAATGGCATACGTTTTTAAAATTGATAAGCAATTTGACAATGAAATCTACTAATTTATGTCTTTAAAAGCTACTACACACAAGCCGGCGGCAATGCCGCCGGGTTTATGCCGAGCGGCTATGCCATCGGCAATACAAGCCGCCGGCACAAGCCGCGCAAAGCCGCCAAGCATCATTCCGGTTGTGACAGTCACATAGAACGCTAGTGAAGTGCATATTTTATGGTTGGTTGGTTAAAATGAATAAGGAAATCATCAGCACAGCCGCCGCAGTTGTAATTTTTATTTTAATAAGAAAAAAAATACAAAAGGACGAGCAGGTTTGGGTTGCACCCAAGTTTACAAAATAGAAAATGGCGAAACGGTACTGTAATGATAGAAGAGTATAAAAAAAATGATGTGGGGTGTCAGCGTTTGCGTTTTCATGAAATTTTTCAATTAAGAGCAGCACAGCTTCGTCGTCCGAATTAAACGACATTTTAAACACACAAACCGCACAACACTACCGCTCGAATGCCAGGAACGAAGTGACGCCGGCAAGCCGCGTAACCCTCCGGCATTCCCCGGCGGCAATGTCGGCGGCTCCTTTGCGCGGCAAGGCCGGCGGCTTTGTATGCCGCCGGGTGTACAGAGGCTTAGCCGGCGGCTTGCCCGGCACTGTGTTTAGCAGCCTTAAGGCAAGTTCCCTTGTTTTCACCGCCAGAGGAAACATTTTAGGCAATCTTCAACTACAGGTAGTGCGTTTCATTGATCCATTGATCCAAAAAGCGGTTAATAGTACGCTTATATCAACAACATCGTGTGCTTGAGTTGTCGTAGCGGTTGAAACATCTGTGTCTGAAACAAGTAAATTATGTCACCTGGAACAAAGATGTAAATGAATAAAAATTAATTATCGACTTCATAGACTTGCATGTCATTAAGTTGATTCGGTCTTTAAAAAAATACTATCGTTGTAGCCGAGACGTCAATAAATTCAACACCTGTGGTTTCATTTATTATGTTGCACATTTTATATTTGCACATGCTCGCTTTTCTTTCATCTTCAACATTAACATGTGATAACTGGGGGTGCGAACCAAACACCATTTACTTCGTAATTGATTTATTTCTCTCCTTTTTGGTCAAGGTTTATTCCTAAACTCTACGCCCTCACCCTTATTCAAAAAATAGATATTCCCGTATAAAAATAAACAACAGATATTCAAAACATAATCACATCTCTATACTTATTAGAAGTCGACAAGAAGGAAAGAAATAGCAGGTAACTTTACCAGCGGTTCAATAAAAAGTTATTTTGTTGGCCGTAAATCATACCTAGGAGAAACTGGGTACCTGTACCGGGCTCACAACCTTGACTTTTTGCTCCGGTAAAAATGTTTTCATTCTCACCAGATGCGATGGAACTAGATTCTTCTGTGTTTATTTCTAAAACTGATAGGTTGGCGAGCACACTCAGTTTTTTTTTAACGAATCTGATCGCTGTGTCTTACGATGGTATTTGTTAGGAGTTTCTACTTCAAACACAGAATAACCTAACTAGCTTTTTACAGTACCCGGGAATCACATATTTTCATTTGGTTTAGAATAATATCTATAATGTACACCATCACCAACCTCAATGATTTTTGAATGACCTCCATAGTTATGGATTTGCTTTTCCATTTTTTGTTCAACAACTATTCTGCTATTGGGCCTTAGTAAATCTAAACGGGTTTTCAAATTTCGACCAAACATCAATTGTGCCGGACTATAATCACTATTGTAGCAAAAAGTCTAACAAACCATTATCCAAATTTTTGTTTTCCATATTTGCTGTCTTCAACACAGATTGACAGAATTTTTAGCCTGCCCATTGCTAGCAGGATGGTATGGATGGGACTATATGTATAGCTCGAATGCCATTTGTTTGTAAATAGTTTGAAAATTCTGTCGAAACAAGTAGAGGTTCATTATCAGAAATAATTTTGTCGGGTAGCCCCATTCTTTAAAATAACGTAGCTAATACCCTAATGACACTGTGAGAATTAGCAGTTTGCATTTTAAAAACCTCTAACCATTTTGTAAATGAGTCAATAACAATCAAGTATTTATCTGCAAATATGGGACCTAAAAGATCGAAGTGGATTCTAGACCAAGGATACCGACTTATGGGCCGCGGAGTGAGTGGAGTTTTTTTAGTACGCACTGCATTGCATATTGAGCATGAGATACACATGACCTCCACAGCTTCATTTATTTTGGGCCATCACACATATGATCTAGCTAAGGATTTGCATTCATTTATACCCAAATGTGTGCTGTGAAGTTCATCTAGGATCTAGGACATATTGTTGCAATTTACCCGGAACCATATCTCGTATGCCCTATCTAAATGCAAATCATCTCTTTTAACATAACATAACATAAGTTTGTCAATTCACTTAGAACTCCATTATTAGGCCAGTCTGTTAGACAATACATATAAGCTTAGTTAAGCCTAACGTATTTACTGTTTGTTTCAATGGCTACTTGCTTAAAACTAAATGGAGTACTATTTTCTAAGTAAAATACATGACTGAAATCTACATAGTCCACCTTACTAGCTATGTTTTTATCAGGTAAACGAGATAAGCCGTCGGCATTTCCATTTTGTGTTGTTTTTACATATATAATATTTTAGCCATATGATGCTAAGATAACGCTGTAAGCGACTAGCTGCATATAATGGAATTCCTCTTTTTGCAACCAGAGGTTTATGATCCCTGATTAAAGTGAAGTGGCGGCTATATAAAGACTGATTGAATTTTTTTAATCCAAAAGTTATTGCACATGCGTCCCTGTTTATGCAAGAATAATTTTTCTCTGGTGGAGCCGGCTGTGACCATTTGGAAAAGCATGTGAAGTCATGGCCGAAATTCCATAATCACTAGCGTCACAGGCTAGCATCACAGGTAAGTTGGGCTCATAATGAGCCAGTACTCTAGATGAAATCAAATCTTTTCTTATGTTATTGAAAGCGTTTTATTTTGATATGGTACCAAAAGAAATGCTGGTTTTTCTTTAGCAGCTGATAGAGTAGATGCAATTTAGAGCTTATGTCTGGTATAAATTTAGCATAGTAATTTACCATGCATAAGCAGGCCTTAATTTCTGTCACAATTGAGGGCGTTTGTATATTAACAGTTGTTTCTAGTTTTTGCTTATTGGTATGTAAACCATTTTTGTTTACTGTATAACTCAAGTAATCCAATTTTTCCACTCCAAAATGACACTTTTTGAGATTAACAGTCAAATTGTATTAACTTAACTTCTCGAAAACCTTTACCAAGATTTGGAGGTATTTCTCTTCGTTTTCATCAACTACTAGAATATCATCGAAAAGTGCAGCTAAACCTTCCAAATTATTAAAAAGCTGCTCCACCATTTTTTGAATGATGGCTGGACTCGAAGAAACTCCATGTGATAGTCGATTATATTGAGAAAGTCCTTTATATGTGTTTATTGTTATCAGTTTTTTTGATTTGTAGTCTAAAGGAATTTGAGCACATGCCTGTGACATGTGCCTTGATAAATCCTAAAACTTCTAGCATATTCCTAGAATATGACTTCAATTTAAGATCGCTTCCCATCATTGACAGAGATGAAAAAAAATTATAATATTCCGCCTCGGATATGACAGAATACGCTGACATCATTGATATTTAAGTGAATCTTTAGCGGTTTCTCGTAGTTATTTCCAATTTTGAAAATTTAGTTTGAAATATGTAAATCAACTAACTCACTTACGTCTCTATAGGATGTTTCATGACACTACCACTATACCGCACCTGTGACATTTCGATTTCCAAAAGAAACAGCGGATATCTTCGTGGTTTGATTTTCTACAATGGCAGCAACAGGTGGAACGAGGCCCATGATTAAGCTGCTCTCTGCTCGAAACTTCATGAACTGCTACTATTGCCATCGATAAAGGCTTTGCTTCTTCCACCATGAGGAAATTTTTCTCTGCGGCCTCCATATTGAGGGCAATCTTTACTGCTTTAATGTAGTTTAAATCTTTCTCGGTGAAAAGTAACAACAACTGTTGTTGACGAATGCTATTACCTCGAAGGCCATATAGAAATTAATTAGTTGAATGGTCTTCAAACTGTCTACAAATTGGCATGTTTTGGCTAATTTTTTATAACAGTGGAAATCTGGAAATGTAGGAATTCCAGTTTGACCCACTTAACCTAAACTCCGACATCCGTATGATTGACATTCTATTGTTCATCTTTTTGTCATACTAAAACCACCACGAAGGCCTAAACACCCATGGTTTAGGGTGGGGCTATAGGGTGATACAGGGAAAAGGGGGGGACGCCACACGTACTCTGGCGGGAGAACATGTGTGCATGCAAGATGCACAAAAATTCTGGCCCCGCCTACGAGATCCACCGGGTAGTACCTCCGCGTTCGACAGTCAGAGACCGTCTACCACCTACGAACAATCACAACATCCATCGCCAAGAGAAAATTTTTCCTTGGGACGGGATTCGAACTCGCGAGGCGCACGGTGACTGATTAGGAGACCGGAGAGTCTACCAATGCGGCCACCGCTACTGCCTGAATCACTGACGCCCGACGATCGACGGACCATAACTGGCATACAACTGCGAACACAAAAAAAGTCACGCACAACTATACAGGGTTATCCAAATTAAGTGTCCACCATTGGTAACTTTGTTATTAGTAAAAATACAAAGTTGTTTAAATTAGCAAACTAGTAGCATTTTTAACGCTGGTAAAAATGAGAAATAAAAAAAAACAATTGAGAGTCGTTATTTTGATTTTTTTCAGTAAAATAACATTTTTTTAAATGGAAACCCCTGTATATTATATTTTTTTCTGTTAAAGCATCAAATTTTAAACAAAAAGTTCATAATGACTTTTCCGCTAAAGTCAAAAATAGAGTCAAAATAACGATAAATATTTTTAATTATTTGCAGTATTATAATATTAAGACGGCTATGAAAACAACATGGCGTTCGCGATTTGACAGCATTAAGATAAGCGACAAATTGTTAAACTGGACATACTCGCAACTAGAAGGCTTTGGAAAACAATGATAAAATCAAATAATGTCAAACATTAGTGTAAATACTTGTTTATAAGCTTTATTGTTATTTATAAGAAAAGTGTGATATGTTAGAATGCTATTTAGTGTGCAGAAAATCCTCCTTGAGAGCAAGAGAATACTACAGTGAATTATATCCCGCTCGCATTCAACCGTATGAACGATATTTTCTGAGACTTTATCGAAAATTTAGGGGCAACGAAAATGTTTTTGCTAAAACAAGGGCAAAAAAAGAATTCATAATAAGCGAGGCCACGGAAATTGCAGTTATTGGATATTTTGAAGCTTATCGTGAGAATTCAATAGCAGATATTCTCAAGGACTCTAATTTCAGTTATGGTACTGTCCAAAGGATTTTAAAAAATACAAATTTATTCCGTATAAGTACCGACCAGTTCAAACGCTTTTGGCAGGGGATCCAGAGAGAAGACTTGTTTTTTGCCATTGGTATCTTAGCTTCTGTCGCCAAAATGTAAATAACTTTCGTTACCTTTTATGGACAGATGAATCAAATTTTTCAAATTCTGGAATGTTTAATAGAAAAAACCACCATTATTGGTCAAGAGTTAGTACATCCAAGAGGCTCATAAGTCCGTTTCAGTTTCAACGTTTGGTGCGGTATAATTGGTTCAAAAATTGTTGGCCCGTTCTTTTATGAGGGAACCCTAACTGGTGAAAGATATGTGGAATTTATGTCAGAAATTCTGACTAATTTCTTAGACGAATTGGATCTTATAAGTAGACATCATCTGCATTTTCAGCAAGATGGCGCACCTGCCCACAACTCCAGAGGTTCTTATCATTTTCTAAGTACTACTTTTAATGATCAGTGGATAGGAACAAATGGCCCAATACAGTGGCCTCCCAGATCACCAGATCTAAACCCACTTGATTACTTCTTGTGGGGTTACTTAAAGAACCAAATTTACAAGCGAAGGTACGATAACCTTGACGCGTTAAAGACTGCAGTTAGGGAAAAGATAACAAAGATAGATGGTAGGACCATACTTAAGACAGTTCGAGCAGTTGATAAACGTGCCCAAAAATGTATTGAAGAACAAGGTGGTGTTTTTGAGCATCTTCTTTAAAAAAAATTGTTATTGTATTTTGTAAGATTATAAGTTGATGTTGAAAATAAAGTTTGTCGATACAATTTAATTGTTTCAGATTGGAGGCCATAACTTCAACAATTTGTAACCTAGGAGAAAAGTTATTGTAAGCTTTTTTGTTTAAAATTTGATGCTTTAACAGAAAAAATATAATATACAGGGGTTTCTATTTAAAAAAATGTTATTTTACTGAAAAAAATCAAAATAACGACTCTCAATTGTTTTTTTTTATTTCTCATTTTTACCAGCGTTAAAAATGCTACTAGTTTGCTAATTCAAACAACTTTGTATTTTCACTAATAACAAAGTTACTAATGGTGGACACTTAATTTGGATAACCCTGTATACTCAAAATAAATGTGAATTTTCCTCGTCGCCAAACAAAAAAACATACAAACATAAATACCAGCTTATTCCTAAACTCTACACAACATGACATTGATTTGACTTTATAAAGAGCATAATCCAAGACATGGAAACCGACATGTCTGTGCCCTTGAAAAGGTACGTGTCCTAATGAGTTTCCTGAATTCTGTAGCAACTCGTACCAAACCTATTCCAGCAAAAACATACAAAAATCAACTTGCTTTGAAACTGACCTTGTGAGGATCATGGTCACGATCAGCACCACGTCACCAAACACCTTCCTACAAGGTGTTTTAACGAAATATTCCTATTAGTATAATGATTCTCAGAGTGTTGGCATGAGAACGACAAAGGGTGCATTCACAATTTTTGAAAATCAGACCATACTCCTCGGAATCTTAGGATTGCTTTGGTCCTATGGACACCTTTGTTCGGAAATGTAAGAAATATATCATACTGAATTTTTTGACAGATCGACTGGGATCCATTTTCCATTGAATTTTACGCCTGGTCCTCTAAATGCGAAGCTTCACTAGCCTTAGCGTGTCTTTAAAGTACAATTGTTTTTTTATTGTTATGAAGGAGTTTCTGAACCTCAGCCCAAATAATGAAATAACGTTTTCTTCTGTTTTATACAGTCACTTCAAGAAGACTGGCCTCTTGTCACCTCACTTTCCGAGTCTTGTTTTCCAACTGTCCAACCACTCTGAATCCAAATGAGTGCAGCATAACTCCGTGTGTTGAATGTCTGCATAAGGTTCAAAGGTAAAGCAATTTCTCTCAGTGGCGGTAGTATCAGCCTCCCCTCTTCTCTGAGTACGCCTCTGTATTACTCTATTAGTTTCATTTCCTGAAATATTTTCCGAATGTTACAGCTAATCACTTCAAACTGTACAAAGTGAATATCAACTTCCCTCACAATCAATAAAGTATGGATAAGCAGGAAGACGGTGACAAACGCTACTTGATCGAACTGCTTGGTTCCGGCGTAAAATCGTTTCATTTCCGCCTGCCGATTATTGGCAGCTTTCACTGCTTCCCTGAACCAATATTTGGACAGCGAATATTGTTTCACTCCGTTGTTATCTAACTATGATGAAACGTTCCGTTACGTTCACCCAGCAGAGTTCAAAGTTGATTCATTTTCTCGTTCGTTTTAGTTTACTCGTATGGTGTAAGCGCTCTGTTCCTAATCGGTGGGTTAAACCGAAAGTATACTTGGGTTTTATATATATATATATATATACAACTATACAACCATCGTATAAAATCCATAAATTACATGATACACAATCACCTTGAAGAAGATGGGCTACAATCTCCTTTGGGCGAGAAAATACTATCTCTTGAAATGTCTTCT